CCCCTATAGATCCCTTAAAGGTACCCTTATAGATACCTTTAAAGGAACCCTAGGATTTATATCATCAACCGTAGTGGTCATGGTTTGTTGACTTTGAGGTCTCGAGCTCAGGGCTGCTATCGGGGCCTTAATATTTTAATTTAATTGCCTTTACTATTTGAAGGTTCCTTATTCCAAATTTTAATTACCTAGACTGTTTTTTGGCGGGTTCCTTAGTATAAATATGGTATAATGGGCCTCATAATCGTTCTATTATGAATATAGTATAATGGGCCTCAGAATCGTTCTATTATAAATACAGTATAATGGCCCCAGAATCAAAACCCCATTCTAATCATTAAGGCCCCCATCTTACTGGTGTTGCTATCGTCCGCCCGGTGATTGACATGATGGGCTTTGGAACTTTTTCTGCTGGCGGCAGGCCTCGGATTTTTGTGGGCTTCCGAATACGCGTTCTGCGCGTTGAGGCTGTTTTTTTGCAGTTCAGCTTAGGCATCGGGTACTACGGTTTGGGGGTTGATTCAAGTCCATCTGCTGGTTTAGGGTGCTGCAGAAGAATGCAGCACAAATGTGTTCAATACTTGTCTGCGTCACTGTCTGGTGCAGCGTAGTCATGACTGCCAGACTGCAGCCTTCGTGAAGCTTTGAACACACTGAACCCTAAACCCTAGACCCCAGACCCTAAACCCCAAACTTGCCAAACCAAGCTTCTCCAGGTCCCAAGTGTCTCGATGACTATCGCCGGCAGCTAGTCAACATCTCCGGAAGCCTGGCCGCTTCCTCCTGATTATTGCGTGCCTAAGGCCCCGCCCCTCCCCCTCCAACAAAAGGCGACACAAAGAAAATACCATGTTGTGGTTTAGGGTGTAGGGGATCATTATGATTTCTTTTTTATAGTTTAAAGGTAATTATATCGGCTGGTCGTTAATGTAACCCCCTAAACCCTTATTGAAATTCGGATTCTGAGTCTTTCAGATCTCTGCTTCACTTCGTTTCAGGGATATATAAGTGGTGTGTATTCTGACAATGACTACTGCAACCTTGGCTTCACCAATATTTGTATTGGCATTGTCAGCCTGTTGGCCTCATGGATCTCGCGGCTCTCTTCGTGATGTCAGTCTTAGAGGAACCCATTGTTTTGGTTCTTTTTCTGATGGAGGTTGTTCTTCCGGGGAGTTTCGCTAGCCCGAACTCCTGACACGTGCTTCAAGGCTTAAGGGATTTTAATGTCATGACCCCACCTGTCCAACAACAGAAAGCAGGTGTTGGGGGTTCACGAGGCAGACTTGTGAGAGTCACTGTCTGGTTTCTATTATAGGGGACAAAAATAGTTACCTGTTCTATTTGGGGGCTCTCTATTAAAATTATAGTAACATGGGTTCCGAAACCCTACTCTAATTACTAAGGCACCTACATTAAGAGCTTCGGCCGAAGGCTCATGTCACACATGTCCCATGAGCCTTCACGATGACAGCGGACGACCTATGCCATTGGGCAGAACACACACTCTCTCTCTCTCTCCCTTTATCCCCCCCCCTCCCTCCCTCCCTCTCCCTCTCCCTCTCTTTATCCCTCTCCCTCCCTCCGTCTCCCTGTCCCTCTCCCTCTCCCTGTCTCTCTCTCTCTTTCTCTCTTTCTCTCTCTCTCTCTCTCTCTCTTTGTCTCTCTCTTTGTCTCTCTCTTTGTCTCTCTGTATCTCTGTCTCTCTATCTCTGTCGTTGTCTCTGTCTCTCTCTCTCTCTCTCTCTCTCTCTCTCGCTCCCCCTCCCTCCTACATCCATCCATACATACACATGTAGAAGATATGAAATGAAAGCCTGCTTATATGTATGTATGTACGTATGTACGTATGTACGTATGTGAGTATGTATGTATGTATGTATGTATGTATGTATGTATGTATGTATGTTTGTTTGCTGTTGTGTTTGTATGTATTCATGTTTGCTTGTATGTATATGTGTATGTTTGTTTGTTTGTTTGTTTGTTTGTTTGTTTGTTTTATTTATTATACAGAATGCAACTGCACGTGCACTCGCAGAATCAGCACCGCCATCATCACTGTAACGGTATTAACACCGTAGCACTGGCAGCTGGTCGCAGTTATTCTTTGAAGTTAGCTGCATAGGGTTTAGGGTTTGATTAGGGGTTTAGGGTTTTAAGTTAGCTGCATAGACTAACTCTGATCCCCTACCACAGAACCCTATAAACCCTAAACTCCAGCATAGGCCTTACATCCTCAGATCCAATCCCTGATTGAGGCAGCAAACCAGAGTATAGAGGCCTTAGAAAGTACCTATACTGTTTTGGGGGTTCCTTGTTATAATTACCGTTTATTGGGCCCCGAAGCCCTATTCTAATTCGTGAGGCCCTTATATTTACCCCAGTCCCGAAAATACCAGTGCCAACTGCAGCGGAGCCCATCTAGACATCCTATACCAAAGCACCCCGAAAGAGACCCCGAAAGTAATCTCCACTCAGGCCGGATCGTGGAGATACCGGATCGATCCGGAGTGTCGGTGGCCCTAGTTTGAGTTTAGGGGTCTAGGGCTTCAGGGGCAAACGGAGAAGCCCTTAACGTAGGGTTTAGGGTTGGGCTTTACGGTGCTGGGGGCGATCAGAGCCTAGCGGATCTTTGATCATGGACCTGCCTGTTACAAGTACCGCTCACAGCATAAAGTATTGCTACTGGTGCGATGACTGGGTCCACAGTTTAGGGTTTCTGGATTAGTTTTTTTTTTTTTTTTTTTTGGGGGGGGGGGGGGGGGGGTTTAGGGTTGCTATTGTCTTGTTATTGCTACATTTACAACTAGTCGTATTCTTACTCTCAACAGAAGGTACGGCCAATTACAATTTTGTTCAATACGTGAGGGGTTTAGCCATACAACACTGTGCCTGAAATGGCAGGATCCGTACTTGTAGCGGACCCTTCAGAAACTACATTGAATACAAAGGGGTGGCTGACCACACCCACAACACCTGCAGCAACATCGGTGTTGCGTCTAGGACTTTGCCTCAGGCTTCAGACTCCAGTCCTTCTCCTTCAAGAGCTAAGCTGCTAATCCAAGACCCAAGATTGCGGTTTTCGTTTGGGCTGTTGTTTCTGATTTTTGCAGAAAGAACAGACATCAAACTAGAACTACTAGAAACATAAAATACAGTTGAAGTTGAGAGTATAGATAGATTACCAGGCACCGGTCGCCAGTCCTTCATGCAGTTTGTCATGGCCATTGAGAGGACAGGAGGGTGCCCCTGCCAGACTTGACTTATTTAGGAGCTTAGGTTTTTGGGGTTTAAATCTAGGCATTCAGGACGTATTAACATCCGTGTTCTTGCCTCAACTTCTGGTAGCCTCGCTGTTGAGAGAACTACCCGAGGCTTGTTTTGCACAGCCAAAGTGCTTCACTGCTACACTCAATTTCTGCAAAATGGCGCTGCGGAACGAGGCATGTAGGGCCATTTAGGGCCTATTCAAGGAAGAGTGTGCAGCTTGGATAATTCGGAAGTTTGAAACATTACAGCTTTTTTTGCTCGGGGCTCCTGTTGAAAATAATCCCCCCCACCAACACTATTCTATTCATCAAGGCCCCGATTTGCATAGAGAGTCTTGCGGGCCTTAAGCGAGTGCTGAACCTCGAAAGCCTTGCAAAAACTTGGTTGGATGTGTTGACCGCCGTGTTCAGCCAGAGGTCCGCTTTGCAGAAGCACACTTAACTCATCCGCAGCAAGGCTTCAGACTGTTGATGGAGGCCCGGAGATTCAAGCGGAGCTCAATCAACCCGAAACCCTGAAACCGAAACCCCTAAAGCCTCAACGCCGCTAGCAGGTACTCCGGCAGCGTGAAGCAGCTTTGGGAAGAGATCTCCGGGGATAAGGACGAGTTCACCTTCCAGGAGACCGGTAGTTTTCGGGCTCCAGAAGTTCCCCTTCAGGGCTTAGGGTTGAGGGGTGTTGAGCGTTTAGGGCTTAGGATTCAGGGTTTAGGTTTGGGGGTTAGCTGGACCCTCCGAAACCGACATGCTTTTTCAGGATTCCGCGTGATGTTTTCTTCCTTTATTGGTATTTCAATAGCTAGGTCTTTTTTGCTGCAAGCAGGATCTAGCTAGTTTCTGAAACTTAGACCCTAAACTAGGCCCTAAGCCTCTTAACCCTGATTCCTGACGTAGAGCTTCTGTGGCAGACGGGTTGAGGTGTCCGGGCTTCAGGCGTCTGAGGTTTGGTTTAACAAGCATCTAGGGGGCTTCTGGGCTAGGATTTAGGGTTTCAGGGTTTAGGGTTTAGGATTTCGGGTTTAGGGGTCCGGGAGGTTGGGATTATGGACCGCCTCTTGGGTTTCGGAACCCTGAATCTGTTAATCTGCTCTGCGCCTCACGTTGTCGTAGCCCCGACTGAGCCCTTAACGCCCTGAGACAATACGGAACTAAACCCTAATCCCAAAGCCGTAATCAAACAGCAGCCATTCGTTCGGCTACAATGAATCTTCCTGCCCCTCTCATTATGAAGGCCTAAATATCCCTACAACAGGTTTTAGGGCTTCGAACCCCAAACCCTGGATATAAAACTTAAATCCTATAGTCTCCATTGTAGTTCCTTTTTTGGTTACCTAAAAACTTTATTACAGGATCCTAACCATAAAATTGGTTACCCAAAAAAATGAACTACAATGGAGACTATAGGTAAATCCTATAGACCCTTTGTGGAGGACCTGGATCCTGAAGGATTCGAGATTCTTCAGGATCGGCCCTCGGCTTGGGGTGACGTCGAGTTTCGGCTTCTCTCGAGCGTCATGGGGCTTTACGGGTGGGGGGGCGGCCTTTGCCCTAGGCATCTGAGGACTCATATATTAAGGCTTTTAGGCCTAAAGACCATGTTACATAAGGCTTTTGGGCTATTTTGATGCCCAGGGTTGGGGGTTATGACACAAATCTTTTCCATGGGGTGTAGGGATTAGGGTTTCGGAGTTCAGGTTTGGTACGCAAGGCAAAGCTTTCATTTGCCTGAGTTCCGTCTTTGGGTAACTATTTGGTTCTGTAGTTGTGTGAAAACCAAAACGGAAGGCCGGAACCTTGGACCCCTGAACACCTGAACTCTAAAGCCTTCTACCCCCTGATCCCCTACAGTAAATACCATAAAGTTGGAAACCTGATTCAGCCCAAAAAGTGCTGGGATTCCTTGTTCTTGGCTCCTAAGGATTGAGGCTATTGGGTTTCCAACTTCTGGACTTCTACTATAAACTCATTCATCCCGTAAGCCCCTGAAATCTCTAAACCCTAAACCCTCAAGATTGATGTGGGTGTTGCTTTGTCGTGCACCCGATTGTGCTGACTGGTATAGTTCCCAGCCGTAGTGGCCGTTGCCATGTTTCCTCAGTTTTTAAAATCTTGGCCAAAAAACATGGGTAGTCTACTAAGCAGCTACATGGAGAGAAAAGGTAGCAGTCCAATCAAGTCTAACCCCCGAACCCCAAGCCCCAGAACCCTTCGAAGCTTTAAATCCCACATGTTAGACCCTCAGTCTTAAACTTAAACCCTAAGCCCGCCCCCCCCCCCCCCCACCCCTCACCCCCACCCCACCCAATTCCCACAAAAAAAAAAAAAGAAACACCCTCCCCCTCAATTCCCACAAAGATTCCTCAACGATCCTCAGGCATTTGGGACCTCCTTGCTGAACAGCTACGAGACCTTCGGAGGTGCGGTAGGGCTCCCGTTTAGAGCTACAGGGTTTAGGGTTTAGGGGTTTAGGGTTCAGGGTTTACGGCGGTTCACTTTTTGGAGCTGTGGAATACTGGTTTAGGGTTTCGAGGTTTCGGGGGCTTAGGGGATGCATGAGTTTACAGTAGAAGCCCAACAGTTGGAAACCCAATAGCCTCGATCCTTAAGAACAATCTAGAGGGCATCCCAGCACTATTTGGCCTCAATCGGGTTTCCAACTTTATGGGGTTTACTGTTTAGGGTTTGGGGTTTACGGCGGTTCCCTTTTTGGAGCTGTGGAATACTGGATCTTATGAGTTTATAGTAGAAGCCCAACAGTTGGACACCCAATAGCCTCGATCCTTAAGAGCAATTTATTGGGCATCCCAGCACTATTTGGCCTTAATCGGGTTTCCAACCTTGTGGGGTTTACTGTATAGGGTTTAGGGTTTACGGTGGTTCCTTTGTAGAGCTTGGGAATATTGAATCTTAAATCCTACTCCATTGCTCCAGGCCCTACGGCAGGTCTCTCCCCTCGTTTCCGGTTTTGGCAGCCTCAAGCTCGGTTTATACACATACACCCTAAGCCCTACCTATAGTCTCCATTGTAGTTCCTTTTTGGGGTTATAATTGGTTAAGCCAAAAAAGGAACTACGATGGAGACTATAGGTAAGCCCTACACCCTAAACCCCAAAACCGCCCTGAGCCCTATAAACCCCCAAACCCCAAACCCCCAAACTAGCTCTGACATCGGATGCTGGTCAGTAGTGTGTAAGCCGAGTTCGGGCGGACTGAAAAGTCACTACACACTAAAACCCTAAACCCAAAACCCAAAACCCTAAAAAACCCAAACCGCCTTACAAGCCACTCGGGGGATCTGGGTTCCTCGACACCATCCCCGGGCCTCAGACTTCTGGAAGAGCATGCAGAAGTTCAAGGATGAGCAGCTCGATGAGGTGCGGCTTTTGAGGGTTTAGGCTTTAGGGCTGCGGCTTTTGAGGGCTTAGGGTTTGGGGTTGCGGCTTTTGAGGGTTTAGGCTTTAGAGTTGCGGCTTTTTGAGGGTTTAGGGTTTAGGGTTGCGGCTTTTGAGGGTTTAGGGTTTAGGGGTGCGGCTTTTGATGGTTTAATACAGGGGCCTTAGCAATTAGAATGGTGTTCGGCGGGGGTTCGGTTTTTTTAATAACTACAGGTATAATGGGCCCCATAACCTTATTATGATTATTCAGGTCCCTATACAAGGGCTTTCTCTAACCCCAAACACAGAATAAGGAAATCATAGTAAGGAGGCCGATAGGTAGGTGTTTAGTGTCCAGGTAGGGTTTACCTATAGTCTCCATTGTAGTTCCTTTTGTTGGCTAACCAATTTTATGGTTGGGATCCTATAATAGAGTCTTGGGTTAACCAAAAAAAGGAACTACAATGGAGACTGCAATACCCTAAACCCCTAAACCCTAAACCCCTTAACCCTAAGCCCCTAAACCCTAAACCCCTAAGCCCTACAATGGAGACTATAGGTAAGGCAAGACTCCGGCTCTTGGTTCAGGGTTTGTTGTACATCGAGGCAGGCTGGCGTTTAGGGTTTAGGGTTCAGGATTTAGGGTTTAGGTTTTGGGGTGTAGGGTTCAGGACTTGGGGTTTAGGGTTTAGGGAGTCCGCGAGGGCATAGGTGCGTAGGATCATGCACAATTGCAATTTACAGGTTTCGCAGGGTTCGGCTTAGGAGAGAAGGTCTCCGATACTGTAGTATCACCTAGCTACCCATAGGCTTCACAGTAATAGTTCCGTTTTGGGATTACCTTTTAGGATCCTAAATATGAACCACAAAACGAACTACTATGGAGCCTCTAGGTACCAATGAGACCTCTTGATATAATTAGCGATGCAACATCGTCAAGCTTTCTTGCATTTCCCTGTGTTGTTCTGTCGTCGAGTTCAATTTTCAGGGTTTCTGGTTCGTCGGAACCCACCCTAAAATCCAAGCCCCCGAAAGCCCAGACTCTCAAGAAACCCTAAACCCTAAACCCTCTCGCAGGAGACCTTCATATCGCGGAGTGTAGAAAGTGGCATCGAAGGCCTTTCGAAGCGAGAGCTGAGAAGGACGGTGGAGTTGTCAGCCTGCCAATGGCTCCCCTAAGGGGTCGTGATAGGGTTCCCCCAAGGGTCCAAATGACCCAATAATTAAGTACTCGGCTTTAGGATAGTAGTTATGTAGGTTAGGATTTTGGAGAGTGTGTGATTATTAGGTACTTGGACCCTTGGGGCTCTAGATCCATAAAGGTTCTTATAAGGGTTCCTATATTGCTCCACTTGCAGTGTCCGAATACGCTGGCAGTGGAAACATATAGCCAGCGATGTGAATGTTTGACTGGTAAACCTAGCAACTACTAGTAGCGGTCAACACTTCCCCAAAGCTTCGAAAGAAAACGGTGTGCGCACAGAGAACCACACAGACAGGGTATGCCCAAACAACCCGACCTATTCAATATCAGCTAGAAGAACTGTTGTTGCAAAGACCTGTCAGGAAATCATTGCCAACATATACATTATGCCCATCATGCGCACATAATTCTATAAGTAATGAAGTGAGGGATGATAAAAAACACCGCTATCGGGGTTTAGATGAAAGCGTCTTTAAGTCAAGAACATTGCCTATTCCTTGTAAAACGATAAGAGTAAAAAAAGAACGATAACCGAGATTTTTAGAATATGCAGTCCAGTTGCCTGTAAAACGATAAGAGTGGCAAATGGCGCATGAAGTAGATCACACAGACCCCAAGTCCTGTAAAACGATAAGAGTAACATATAACGATAACCATGGTAAGGGTCATGTAAATGGATGGGGGTTACTCACGCACCCTCAAGTGTGTATATACATGCACACATACATATCGATATAGCTATATCCCCACACAGACACACATACGTTACATACATACTTGAATACTGACACACATGCATACATATATCTATACATCCATACATACATACATGCATACATGCACACGTGCCTACATGCATACATGCATACATACATAGATAGATACATTGATGCCAGCATACATCTTTACCTCGCTCTGTGCTTACTTGCCTATTTGCAACCTAGTTACTTGGTACATGCTTCATGCCACCTGTGCTCTCTGCATCGTTTTGGGCGTATCTTTTGTCATAGTCTTAGTCGCATGGAACCAGCTGCAAGAAGGATCTTCAAGATGTTCCTGCCGGAGCCCAGTACGGGTCGGACGAAGCTGATCCAAAGTGACCTAGAGGCATCGACTTCGGGATTTGGCGCTTGTGTGTTAGGTCTGTTGTCTGTGCGGTTTTCAGGATGGACTATGGGTCTGTGCTAACGATTTCACATTGTCCGAAGCTGCATATACTTATTTCAAGGTCTTCCTCTACATAAAGGCATCGTTATGTTGCAACCGGGACGAACGCGGCCCCACCGAGAGGTGGTTTTGCAGGATCACGACCTCGACCTCCGAAAAGAATAGCTCTGGCTACACGTTAGGAGCCCGAATAAGTAGCGATATGGGTGGTTGTCAATATTAGGGTCCCTTTTAAGGTCCTTATGATAATACGGCACCAAAAAAAAACTAGGGTACCCAAAATGGGACCATAATTTTGACAACCACCCATATGCTCCCACAGACTTAAACAGCCATTCCCTGCACCCCATTTATGGTTTTTGGGGTTTGGGGCCCTGCGTCCGAAGTTCAGAGCCTTCTGGGGTGGTCTAGACACACGTGATTGAGATTCGGACTATACTATAGTCTCATCCACATACATATAGTATACGATATGGGTGGTTGTCAATAATTATTAGGGTCCCTTTTTGTGTTTAGGGTACCCAAATAGGGACCATAATTTTGACAACCACCCATATAATTAGAGTATACTAGATATTGGCCTTAATGTAGTCCCTATATAGGTACTTTGGGGCCCATGTACCTCTATATGGGTACATGGACCCTTAGGGTTAGAGTATACTAGATATCAGAGTCCCCCTGGGATGTGCGGTGCCAGGTCATTGTGATTGCGCTCAACGTGGAGCAGAAGTCCGCCTTGAGGCATTGGCATCTCTGCTTTAGAAGAGGCCTTTAGGGTTTAGGGGTTTAGGGTTTAGGGGTTTAGGGGTTTAGGGTTTAGGGGTTTAGGGGTTTAGGGTTTAGGGGTTTAGGGTCTAGGGGTTTAGGATTTAGGGGTTTAGGGGTTAGGGGTTAGGGTTTAGGGTTTAGGGGTTTAGGGTTTAGGGTTTAGGGGTTTAGGGTTTAGGGTTTAGGGTTTAGGGGTTTAGGGTTTAGGGGTTTAGGGTTTAGGGTTTAGGGGTTTAGGGTTTAGGGTAATAGGAATATAATAGGGCCCGAATATAATCCTTATGGTCACTATTACAGGGTGGGGGCCGCTTCTAATCTCTGCTCGTTTTGAGCTTTCCAAGGAATTCCGAAGGCAAAGCAAGGAACGTACCTGAAACGGCATTTAGGGTAGTTGTCCAAATTAGGGTCCCTTTTTGGGTACCCTAAATATTAGGTGCCGTATTATTTGAGGGACCCAAAAAGGGACCATAATTTGGACGACCACCCATTTAGGGTCTGGGGTTTCCATGGGATGTTAGTGCAAAGCTATGGGATTTCCTGACAGTCGGGGCCCGTCTTCTGCGAAAAAATCCAGCACCCTGTCCTTCTTATTACAGAGCCCCAAGCCGTACATTACTAGGATGCCCAGCAGTACCCTTATTCCCTTTTTGTATTCCTAGGTTCCTTAAAAAGGTACCCCAATACCAGAAAGGGAGCCCTTTCTTTTCCTAGGTTACTGGGCATCCTAGATTAGGATGGTCCAGCTACGGTCTCGGAGAGATGTTGTTCGTTGGACTGCTTTCAAGCTTCTGCAAAGCTGTATGTCCTAGGTCTTTCAAAAGTCGTGTGCCTGAATAGGCTGCCTGAATGCAGGGTTTAGGTCCAGGGTTTACCGGTAGTATTTGCAGGTGGCATTCCAGAGAATGCTTCATCGATTCGACAATTAAGCATCAGGCAGAGATGCAAACGCGCTATACTTCAGGGGTATCGGCCGAAACTGGCCATCTGGGCGGACCCTTTCTTCTCAGTCTTGTGTTGTGTGCTGGGTTAGGTGAGTATGATTCCCAGTTTTGTCTTGAAGTGCTGGCAAAACGTTTGTGTCCTATTGGCCGAGCGGACATGGCTGTAGTACCCTGATAGAACGAACCCTTATCAGACTTTTTCCGCAACCCTAAACCCTAAACCCTAACCCAGGAGCTGCAAACAGCCGGAAAACGTCTCTAAAAGAAAAGCCTAACCTAAACCCCAAAAGGGGAACCCTGTAAAGGTCTCTTAGCAGCCCGTCGATGATTCTGAAAAGGCCATCACGAGCATCACAGTTTTAAGTTGTTTTCGGCCCCAAGGCTTTGAGGGGCCGCCGCTCAAAGCTCTAAAGGCAGTATACTAGAATAGACTATAGAAGCTGCCCCCACCCTGTAATAGTGACCTTAAGGATTATATTAGGCCCCTATTATATTCCTATTATACCACTATTACAGGGTGGGGGCCCCTTCTAAAATAGACTATAATATATTATCAACGAGTATGTAACACTAAAGCAAAAACTGTAATATCCGTTAATTTACAATATCAAGTTGACACGCTTTATGCAGCATACGTTTACTGCAATTGTTCGTCGGAGGACCTCAAGCCCCGAAGCCTACCCTAAACCCGGTTTTAGGGGTTAGGGGGTTTAGGGGTTGGGGTTTAGGGGTTGGGGTGTTTAGGGTTCAGGGCCGAACTAAGGAAGTGATGGAACGATTCCAAGAAGCCTAAACCCGTAAGCCCGCAGACATGAACAAGCCTTGACTGTCTGGTTCTTAGTAGGGACTAGGGGTTCCTTTAAGGGTTCCTTTAAGGGTTCCTTTAAAGGGTCCTAAAAGGGTTCTATAAGGGGTCTTAGGGTATCTATAGTCTCTGTCTGGTTCTTAGTAGGGAATGGGGGAATGGATCATGGGGACTATTGTTGGGGATGATATAGGGACTACTATACGGATCCATCCGCCCATTCCCTACTAAGCACCAGACAGTAAATTGCAGTGCCTTGGCGCGAGAGGCACAGCACCACCCAGAAGAGTCTTGAACTCGCCGGAAGCTGAGAACATCTATTTTAGGGTTTGGGTTCAAGATTCAGGGCTTATGTTTCAGGGTGTAGGGTTTGGGTTTATTTACGGCTCAGTGTGTAGGGTTTAGGGTTTGGGTTTAAGGTTCAGGTTTTTATGTTTTAGGGTTGAAGGTTCAGGGTTTATGTTTTAGGGTTTAGGCGTTAGTGAACCCCACTGTAGACCCGAAGCAGTACCCACTGTAGACCCGAAGCAGTAAGAGCCTCCCTCTTCAGGGCCCCCAAGAGTGACGCCCTAGCGGTCACTTGAGGTAGGAGCCTGATATCTATTGGCAACTATCGGTGCTAATGTAATGCCTTACGTTCTTAGGCTTGTGTTTTTCCTGTATATCAAAAAGCGTAATAATCTACCACCAAAAAATCACAGTTCTAATTATGCAGGCCCTTAAAACAGGGTGGAAGAGCTTCCCTAAGCCATAAGCCCCAGACCCTAAACCGCTCCAGTGTTGGGTGGCAGTGTTCAGGGTTTGGAGTTCCAGGCATTTGAGTTTCGACGCCGATGAAGGTTCGATTCGGGACATGGGAGTTTGCGAAAATTAGCGGTAGCCCTTTTGGGGGCTCATATAATTAATGATCCTATTATTTAGGGTACTATATTAGGGTCCCCTATTTTCGGAAACTCCCACATCGTATCGGGGCCTTAGTGATTGGAATAGGTTTCCTTTAAGGGCCCTCTAAAGGGGTTCTAAAAGGGTACTATATCGGGGCCTTAATAATTAGAATAGGGTTTGGTGCCCATTATACTAATTACAGTTAGAATAAGGAGCCCAACATTGTATTCGTACTTATTTCGGCCCTTATATCATGGGCTTGCCGAAAGTAGCTAGAAGGCAAGTGAGGCCCCAATGACTTTAATTGTTGCCTTGGAAGTGGGATTGAGCATCATCAACGACAATAAGCGTGTAGAGGGCTTGATTGTCGATGACAACAGTCCCAGACTTCGTGAGCTCTTCCTCAACCTAAAGAAGAATGAGATGTTGGAGTCGATGAGTAACATGTTCGGCTTGGATGGTTCGTCAAAACTTACCTTTGGTTAGTAGGGGATGGAAGAATGGTAGTAATAGAAGTTGTAGTACTCCATTCCTCCATTCCCTACTAACCATTGGTAAGAAAAGTAGGACGAGAGAGCAATTGGCAGACCAGTTTATGCCTGTTTGGCATCAGGCTCAGCAAGTTCGTGCTATCAGCAACAACTAGCAGAACGACGAGCAGAACTATATAGTGCCTTAAATACTAGGATCCTTATTAAAAGGACCCCAAAATACGGTACCCACAATTTTCGGAAACTCCAACATTTAGGTTTAGAAATCACTGCTAATATTTATTCAGTAAATAGGTTTCCTTATGATTGTCATACTTTAAAGGAGCCCAAAACCTTATTCTGATTATTCAGGCGACAATGTCATCCCAAGTTGCACGGAAGATAGATCCATGAAGCAAGCATCGATGCTTAGATCTGCAGGGTAGTGGGGTATACGATATAGGGTCTATTTCTATGGCCCTTCAACGCAACCTCAACCGAGTTTGTGACATTCAACTGCTTTAAACGTGCGGCATGTCTTGCATACTATGTATCCACCGCATTCTACGTGTACGCGACTACACCTACACCTGCGAGCGAGAGCAATCCAATGCATCAAGCAGCGGGAGACATCTGAATCCAAACCTGCAGCCCAAACCCCAAAACCCCAGACCCAAAACTCCCGAACTCTCAAAACTGATGAGTCCGAAACCTGATCAAGTTTGTATGGGGAATCCGCAACTGCAATGCTGAATCTTTGGATATCATGTTTTGGGTTTAGGGTGATCCTGGTTCTGTGGCATAATCCGAGGCTTTTGGGTTTTCCTTGGCACCGATAGGAACAAGCTAGCGATTGCTACACATTATATCACGATTATCAACTGGTGGTAGCTGCGTGCACCAGCAGCAGCAGTCCTTGTGTATCCCTACAGTCGCCTTCGGAACAGCAGCCCAAAAGGAAAAGCGCTGCCCTAAGACCCTCAACCGCCGTGCCCACAAAGCCCTATACCACTCTAGCAAACGATACACAACCTACACAACTGTCAGCCCCCCAAACCTAATCGCCCTCAAAACCACATAGGGTGGAACAGATCGAGGACTCCCCGAAGTCTCCAATGCTGCGGCCCGCGTCGCCTTCCCCTTCGTTGGCACCGCCGTCTCCAAAAGCGGGCTCCCGCTCGCCATCGCACTCGCGGGTGAGGCTGGATTGGGTCTCCTTTAAGGGGGTTTTGGAAATCTCTAAAGGGGTCCTGTAAGGGTATCAGGGTTTAGGGTTTGAGTTTACAGCCGTAGCAGTGAGCATGACACTTTACTAATTACCGTCACTGCAAGGAGGATGGCGCTAGCAAGGCTTGCATTGAAATGGGAACAGCTACTTCGCCGGCTGGCGCAGCCGACATACATGACGATGATGATGATTCAATAGGCAAGCCCTAAAGCCAACCTAGACCAGGTGACTAGGCCTGAATCTTGCTTTTCCAAGTTGATATTAACCCTAAACCCTAAACCCCTAAACCCTAAACCCTATTCCCTAAACAACTCTAACATCCTGAAGCCCTTCGTAAAACCGAAGGCAAAAGCCCTAAACTCTACACTTTTCCATGGCCCTGAGCCCCGGGCCCCCAACCAGCAGCCCCAACTACACCGGATTTCATCCTCATCTTTATGATTTGTGACCCTGAATCAAAGGTAATTTCGCGACCTAAATCCTAAAGTTCGTACCAAACCACCAAACCTAAACCCTAAACTTCGACACAACACCCCAAACCTAAACCCTAAATTTCGACTCTGAATCCTATAAGCCTAAACCCTAACCTCCAAACCGCTATAAGCCCCCACTCCAGCAGGTCTTCCCCGGAGCTCCCGGTGATCTCCGTGGAGGCTCCGCGCATCGAAGCCTCCGAATCTGGGGGCACTGGGGGCAGATCCAGGGATCCGCCGGGTCTTCCTTTTTCTTACCTTTGGTTAGTAGGGAATGGAAGAATGGTAGTAATGGTAGTTATAGTTGTACCCCATTCCTCCATTGTTTACTTACCAAAGGTAAGTTGGGTCTTCCCTTTTGGGAGATTAGGGCTTCAGGCTTTCCAGCGATCCTTTAAGGCGCCCCTTTTTGGGGGCTTATAGGGCTTTAGGGTTGAAGGGGATAGGGTTTATAGGGTTTAGAGATTTGGTTTTGGGATTAAGGGATTCGAGCTTAGGGTTTACGGGATGGGGTTTAGGGTTTAGGATTGACATTTAGAGGATGGGGGTTTGGGGCTTACTTGGATGTCCAGGTTCATAGGTAGTTGTAAGTGGGGTTATAAGTCCCCTGCTATGGTTTATAAGTATAGTTACCCTGCTTATAACCCATCGGTGGCCTTCTGCCCTTTTTCTTCATGGGCTCTTGTGTTCAAACCAAACAGTCGGAAATGGGTACCCTTAATTGTAAGGGGCTAATGACGGCCAGTGGCTACCTATAGTCTCCATTGTAGTTCCTTTTTTGGTTAATCAAAATTTCCATCGTAGGATCCTAACCATAAAACTGGTTAACCAAAAAAAGGAACTACATTGGAGACGATAGGTAGTGTGGAGCCGAGTCTCGGGAAGGAACCGCGAAAGAGCCTCAAAGGGACCCTCAAAGGAACCCGTATGGGTTCAGATCATCGGAGGCCAAAAGGGTCTTTAGCCTATGGGGGGTTAGTAGGGATTAGGGTTCCCATAGTAGGGTTGACATTGAGAATCCCTACCCCAAGAATCTTAACCCCCCCCCTGCTGGCCTCCCATCATCAGAGTTTGAGATGTCCTGTCGAGGCTTTCGGGTGTAGGCTTTAGAGAGTTTAGAATTTAGCGTCTAACTTGCTGTAGGTGGCCTTCCCCAAACCTTGTGCAAGTTATCATGCAGGGCCATGCATATCATCTATAGTCTCCTTGGAATTGGTTTTTTCGTTCACACAAAACCCAAGAGAATATTGAACATATTACCTAGACCCTCCATCTGCCCTCTATTAGACCCTAAATGCCTCTTATTTGGGACCATATACCCCTGTTTGAGGGTACAAGGAGGGTCCTGGTAGTTTTATTATGGTTCTAAGGGGGGGTACAGGGAACTCCAGAAAGTTGGAATATGGTTTCAGGGTAGGATACCCTATAATTGACCATAGAAGGGTTAGGATAATCATATTCCAACTTTCTGGCTTCTACTGTATTGTCATGGAAGCGCAGGAGTTCCGACGCCTCCTGAAGCGCCTCTACGGCAGCGTCCATGCCGGCTGGGTGAAGTACCTAGACGTGACCGAGGCCGACGGATGCTCGGTGAGCTTCTATAGTATAGGGTTTAGGGTTATGGGTTTAGGGTTTAGGGTTATGGGTTTAGGGTTTAAGGTTTAGGTTTATGGTTTAGGGTTTAGGGTTACAGTTTAGAGTTTAGCGTACGCTCGGTGAGTTTCTGTACCCAAAGGGTCCTAGGTACTGTTATGGGGGATACTTTCCCAAATCATAGTAAGGATTCCTAGTACAGACACCATAGTGTCTACTCTATAGGGTTTTTGGACCCTTTGGGATTTAAAGGTTAGAGAGGTTTTCTTGGCTGATTGATCACAAGCTACTGTGGCGGCTTGGGTGTTTGGGGGTTTTGGAGCTTTATGGCTGTCCAACAACGGCGAAGATGAATACAAAAACCTGCTACTGTTATTGTTTTGGCTATCAGTGCTGTTTTGCTGTTTAACGTGTCTTAGCTCCGATGAGTTGTATGTACCATCTTGTCGATGTTGGTGCTGATACTCGATACTGGTACAAGTATGGCGACGACGGTCACGATAATTGAGGCTGCCGACTGCTGCTCCTCCTCCTCCTCCTCCTCCTCCTACTACTACTACTACTACTACTACTACTACTACTACTACTACTACTACTATAAGAATAGTCAGAGTCATAACAACAATAATCAAAACTGCTACTACGAGAGCCTGCAGGCTGGCCGCGTCCCCAAGGGGGAGTTCGTGAACAGAGCTCGGGCTATCGGAGTGACAGGCAGGGCTGTCAGGTTGGGATGTTGAGGGTTTAGGGTTTGGCGTTGGGGTTGTCAGGCAACCGGTTTGGGCCGTCGGGATTTTAGTTTGGGTTTGCCAGGACGCCGTAAGCGGGTGGGCATTCGAGGTTTTGGGGAGCAGTGAGCAGGTACTAAGCTTGAGATTCTGTTTCAGGGTCTTCAAGGCTTAAGGACTGCAAAGTTGTAGGGTTTGGATATGGGCTTTGGGATAGTTGTTTCAGGTTTTCAGGGGTTCGGGATTAGGGTTTCGAGGATTAGGGCTGAGCGCTTCAGGGTTGTCAGGTTACTATCGTAGATGTCCGGGTGTCAGGATTCGGGGTTCAGGGTGTTGATGGTTCTGGGTTCGGGGCTCAGGGTTTTAGGGTTTAGGGGTTCAGGGTGTTGATGGTTCTGGGTTCAGGGCTCAGGGTTTTAGGGTTTAGGGGTTCAGGGTGTTGATGGTTCTGGGGTAAGGGGTTTTAGGGTTTTAGGGTTTAGGGGTTTAGAGTTTAGGGTTTAGGGTTTAGGGTGATAGTTCTGGGTTTAGCAGGTTTAGGGCTCTATAGGGTCAGAGCATAAGGGCTAAGGGCTTGTCGAAGAGACTGCGGGTTTACAACTATGGAGATTTAGGGGGTTCTATTGCCCCCCAAGTTTTCACAAGTTTCTTGGCTGTGGGAATGTCTTACTAATTCAAGAACCCTATGGCCATATACTGCATGAGCTACTCACAGGGACCACAGAACTAGCAAGCCTATTCCTCAGACCTCGGCTGCAACAACCACCCCCCTCCCCATCGCCTTGTCTCTAATATGACCCACATATCCGCATAGGGCCTCACCCTGCATCTCAAGTCCCCTGGCACAGGGCATGTGGCAGAGCTGTTCGCAGCCTTCGATGTTGACAACAAGGGCTTCATCACCCTTAAGGACTGGCCCCCGCTCCTCCGGCCTGCCGAGCTTAATATAGGGGCCTAAGGACCTAAATTAAATAATTACCAATGCTACTTTGGGGGAATCTAATTATAGTATAATGGGCCCCCGAACCCTGGACTAACAATTAACGCCCCTATCTTAGAATAGGATTTGGGGGCTTCAGTGGTTAAGACGGTTAAGAGTCGTGCAGTTCTAGGCTTTGGGGCCGGGAGGCCCTCGTTTGGGTCTCTACTATCTTCGCTAAGTCCCGGTGTAGTTTAGAAGGGGCCCCCACCCTGCAATAGTGACTATAAGGATTATTTGAGGGCCTATTATATTCCTATTGTACCACTACTACAGGGTGGGGGCCCCTTCTAAGGTATAGTTATCAATGGACTGTGGAGTGTCTGGGTAGGCTTTGTCAAGGTGGCACCCCTTCTTGTTGGCACCTACTGTTTGCAATGTCTTTCTCCGAAACAACACTGTTTCAAGAGTGTTTTCTCCGAATGAGGTGGATTGTATGCCTAGTAGTGGCAGCAGTAGGTGCGGCACTGGCAGCAAGCAGCATTGAGTCCATAAGGCATTACAACAACCTTGTGAACCCCCTACTGCCCCAAACCCGAAACCCTCAAAACCCGAAGTCGAAACCCTCAACTCTACACCCTCAACCCTAAAGAGGAGTTCTGCCCCCCGTCGCGCCACCGCAGGACTTAGATCCGCAGGTGTCGAAGGTGATGAAGAACTTCTTCAGATGCATAGAGGACCCCGCCCCTCGAGGGACTGACATCTTCGGGTCTTTGTTGGGGTTTCACAATAATGGTTTCAATGTTCCCAGGCAAAACAGGCGTTCTTTGAGTTTCGGGTTCTGCCGTTGGTGCAATCGGAGTTTTCAGGGTCTTCGTAGGTATTTTTGGGCTCTGGGGTTTAGGGTTTAAGGTTTAGGGTTTAGGGTTCAGGTTGTTTGTTAGTTAAGGACTAAGCACTTGGTATACGGTTACGCGTCCTTTCAAACTATACGGCGCATACCCTCAACCCTAAACCTTGAGTCCTAAACCCCAAGCCCTGAGTCCTAAACCCTAAAACTTGAGACTAAAACCCTAAACCCTGAACCCCTAAACCCACCCAAACCTGAGTCCTAAACCCTACACCCTGAGACCTAAACCCTACAACCCTGGATCTGCTCCATCCTTCAAGCTGCAGCCGCTGTATCAGGTTGGAGGGATCAGGCTTTCAGCAGTTCGGGTCCGTCCGCTAGGGTCCTGCAAGACCGCACCAACATTATATATATAAATATATAGGCGTGTGTGTATATATAACAATAAATAAGTATACATATACATATATATATATATATATATATATATATGTATGTTATATATATATATATATTTTTTTACAGATGTCGGACGATTTACTAGTAATACCCAGCCCCCCCCCCCCTTCGCCAGCAGATGAACCCGTGCAATTCCTCATCTCGGAGGAGGCCCAAACCCAGAGCCCCTGAACTCTGAATCCCGGAGGCTTTGGGACCAGGGATAGGGGTGCATTAATATAGGGCCGCAATTGTTTACCAATGCCATTGTGGGGTTCCTTATTATAGGTACAGGTATGATGGGCTCCCCAAAACCCTAGTCTATTTATTAAGGCCCCTATACTACCCCTTATTGCCTTTCTTCTCATGCTAATGACCGCTGAGCTTAAGTTTCAGAGGTGCGGCCTAGTTTCTACAGTAGCCGACAGCCTTATCCTTTTGTGGACACCTTGTGTTATCTTTTGTGGTTTTCTTTTTTAGGAGCTGCTTAGCACGAACGGGTTACACAATGCCCAATACTTTCGGCATTAGGCCTCCCAGTGGGCTCTTTTTTCCCTTGTTGTAGTCCAAGTTCTTACTGGGCATCCTAGTATATGGGACCCAGTCCCAGTAGGATCCTTGTTTTCCAGGACCCCGACATGAGGTACCCGAATTGTCGGACACTCCCTTATTTATTTATTTATTTGTTTATTTATTTTATATTTATATATATACACCGTAAAAGCCCCGAGCCCCTTAAGCCCTTAAACCGTAAGCCCTGCAGAAAGGGCTACCATGGGCCCTGAGCCCTGAGGATTCCTACGGCTCCATTGAAGAAGCCTGGCCCAAGGCTTTCGATGCGCCCCCGACCTGTTTCGGGTATTTCGCCGGGTTTTTGGCTTAGAGCTTAAGGTTAACGGCTTTTAGGGTTTAGGGCTTTCGGGCTTAGGGTTTAGGGTATATAGGGTTTAGGGCTTTAGGGCTTGGGGTGTAGGGCATATAGGGCATAGTGTTTAGGAGTCTAGGACTCAGAGTTTTGGGGGGTTAAGTCAACGCCTTGGGGTGTTTGATCGTGGGATGGTCGGAGCTGCGTGGAATTTGGAGCTTGGGCTTGGTTTACCCAGAGACTCCAATATCCCTCAGTTAAGGAAGATACCTTCAATCATGTTAGGGATCCTACTATAGCTTATTCCTCCATGAAGGGATATTGCAGTTTGAGCTCGGTTTTTAGGGAGTCCAGTTACCTGGATAGTGGGTTGCTGGGTTACATATTATGCGGTTAGTAAAGTAGTCAGCGGCTGGAGCAATAGCGAATCGCAATGGTCTACGCTCTGGGCTTCGGGCACACCCCTATCCCCGAAACCGATCTGTTGACACGTGATGCTGCAAGTATAAATCCTACCCAGAGGGTCCATATATACTACCATTATGGAATTGGGCACCAAAAGATCATTCTCACTATGGTTTTGGGAGGCTTATTCCATAATAGCAGTATAGATGGACCCTCTAGGCTACATGTCTTCGGATGACGTCGAAGAGCAGAGAGCACGACACCCGATCCGAATCACTCGAACTCCAGACTCGAAGACTTAGCTTCGAAGCCATTCCCTAATGTAGGAGCCTGATTAAGAAACCTTGGGCCTTGATTCGGCTTCCTTATATTTTGGGGTTAGAGGCCAGGGGGTTTCTTAATCAGGTTCCTACATCATTATAGTACCCTGATTATAGATCCCTTAGAGTAGCCCTTATAAACTTTTTCAACGGAACCCTAAACCCTAAATCCCTACGGCTCCTACATTGCACCTGCAGCTTTACGATTCAGCGGCGCAGGCTGCAACCCAACTAAACCCTGCCCTGAGGACTAAATCTCCCACCCCCGAAACCCTAACGTAGGAACCTGGTTAAGGGACCCTGGCCGGATGACCCCAATATTAAGATTCGAACAATAAAAAACCCCGATAAAGAAAGAGGTTTCTTAGTCAGGCTCCCATCCTAAACCCCTCTAGCTCCCTGATAGAACCATATATTGACCCCCAAGCTTCTAGAAAGGTCTCGAAGAGAAGAGTCGTTGGCAAAGCGGAGTTTGCTAAAGGCTGCGAAGCCATTGGCTACGAAGGCTGGGTCTTAGCGTTTGGGGTTTAGGTTTGCGTTCAATTCAAGGACCGTCAAGGACCTAAATATCCACAGTAAGCTTTTGGGGGCTTTCGTAGAATCATAATACAGGTCCCCGAAGGACAGTATCGCTAGGTATCCATGCTACTGTATTACGGCTGATGTTTGAAAAGATGTCTTGTATCAGGGTGTGCCCTAAAGCCTCCTGCCTTCACCTTGCACCGCGGTGCAGCTGGCCAAACCTAACTGGCGGTGTTGCGATGGAGGCTCTGCGATTATAACTTAGCTATATAGCCACATACTTCTTTGGCCACATTATGGGGCCGTGGGTGTGTAATCTGGCCTTTTTGCGAGACATCGATTGTCGTTCTACCCCACGGGATGCAGTAGTCGTAGCTGCGTAGCTGTTCTGAAAGAGGCGATCATCGAGCACATATCACAATCGCAAAGACCACACAACACAGCATAGTAACCAGCTGAATTTCACAACTGCAAGCAAACAGCGTAGCCATATGTGGGTCTGAAGCAAGATCAACCTATGTAAATCCTAAACCATAGTCACGGCACGAAGACCTAGGCTCTTACATTGACGCATACCCGGACCATGACCCACACCGAAAACAAAAGCAGCAGCAGAAATACCTGCAAACCCTAAACACCTATCGCCTATGTAAGTCTGAAGCAACATTAGTCCTCAAACCTCATATTATACCACCTTCCTGAAGGGTTTAAGGACCTCAAAATCTCCAAAAGCGAGCGCTCGGAACCCACTTCTGCAAACCTTACTGGAGCTTGTAAGAAGCCCGTAAGCCCTAGACCCAAAGCCCTAAACCAGAACCGAAACACTAAATGGGAAACCCGATTTCAAACCTAACGCGTAAACAGCCTTGGCCGCAGACAAAAACCTTGAACCATAAACACCAAACCCTAGCCGACGAAACGCTTGTCATGAACACCTTGTACTATCGATACAATGCTTGCAGAACCCTCAAAGAGCCCTTGCAGAACCCGGATCGAATCCCTGAAGAACCTTTTTTTGGAGCCCTCGACCCAAAACCCTACCTATTGTCTCCATTGTAGTTCCTTGTTTTGGTTAACCAAATTTATGGTCAGGCTCCTATAATAGAGTTTTTGGGTAACCGAGAAAAGAACTACAATGGAGACTATAGGTACTACAAAAAGCTACACCCTTAGCGTCACGAAGGTGACGCGATGAAGCTCTTCGCTCTGCTTCAGCCCGAGACGGGCCGCACGCCGCGAGCTCAGTCTCCGCGGCGGTCGGCATGAAAAGCTAGGGGTTTCTGGGGTTTCAAGGGGTTTCTAGGGTTTCTAGGGGTTTAGGGCTTCTATGGTTTAGGGTTTCAGGGTTTAGGGAAGTCTGTCCATGGTATTTTGCAACTTTATGGAGTTTAGTTGATTGAGGCCACGTGCGTTTTGGGGGTTTGTATGCCCTTGGTTGAGGGTTTAGAGGGTTTTGAACATGGTTGTGCAAGCGTTCCACAAGGGTTGTATCAGGCGTTCTGTGGTTCATACTTGGAGGTTCATGGGCAGCTATAAGTAGGGCTCAGTCCCCGAATATGGTTTGTAATTACGGCTACGCTACCTCGAAACACCACTTATAACTGCCCATGAACCTCCAAGTAATTATGGGGATGTCTTGGATGAGGTAGCTCCTTTCGGACAATCTTGGCAGTAAGGATCCTATGCTGCTTGAGGTTTCTTTGGAAAGGGCTCGTGCTTTCCGAAACTGCCACGCTTGGTTTGTTGGTTCTACAAAAACTCCTGTCGCCATGCCTCTTCTCCATAAAGCCCATATAGGGCTTAGGGATGGGGAGGCTGAGTGTTAGCGGTTTGGGGTTTAGGGTGGTGGAGGGGTGTTGCGCTACAGGGGAAGGCTGCGAAAGCAATGGATGTTTGTGAGGATTGTTTTTGTTGGGTCGTATTGGTTTTGCTTTTCGTTCTGGCGAGCAGGCTTGACAAGTTTTCGCCCGTCGCTTGAAAAGGGCTTGCTGGCTACAAGTTTAGGGTTTGGGAGATTGCTGCGGGGGCTCCGGTTAAGTAAGGCCCGTTTAGTTTTGAACCCTATGAAGGACCCTAAGCCAAAAAGAAGGTTGCAAAGTCCGTACAAGGAACTACAACACCCCTTGAGCCCACCCCAAAGAAAGCCCCTAAAGGAAGCCTATCTGTACTAGGCTGCAGCACCCTGACAGGAACCCTAAATCTAAACAGGCTGCAAATCCCTAGGCAAAACTTGAAATGGACTTTACAGTGTGCCCCAGAAAGTTGGAACATGGATTTAGCATGACAAGTGCTGGGATTCCCTTCCCTTTACCTTAAGGGCTTGAGGATACTAATGTTCCAACTTTCTCGCTTCTACTGTGCATCCTGCGAGGTTCCTGGAGCTTGCTGACCTCGGCCGTCATGCGGCAGAGTCTGTCAAGGCTCACGAGGACTTTCCGGGATGTTCGGGGTGAGTTTAGGGTTCAGGGGTTTCGGGTTCCCTTCAAGAGTTCTAGACGGGTTGTGCTCCAAATTCCAACCCGTGTGGGCTTGAGGGTTTTGTTGGGGTTCAGGCTTTATGGGTTTCGTGGGCTTTGGTGCTTTCGGTTTTGCCGCTCGGTCTCAAGGCAAATCAGCGGAGTTTCCTTTTGTTAGTATACCGTAAACACGACACCCGAAAAAACTAAACCCCCAAACCCTACTGTGATCCAAAACTGGTGGTTTGTGTTTCGGGCTATCCGGTTCTTGGGGTTCTAGTGTTTGGGGGGTTTGGGGTGGTAGGGATTCGGGGACTGGGGGTTTTGACTAAAATTTAGCATCTTAGTCTTTGGAGGCTCGAAAGGTTCGGGGGTTTATGCATTATGGGCTGAAGCTTTGGGTTTTGAGCATCACTTTAGGGCCTTTTGGCTTCAGTTTAGGGCCTTATGGCTTCAGTTTAGGGCCTTATGGCTTCAGTTTAGGGCCTTATGGCTTCTACATCAGAAGAGATTGTTGATGTTGACGGCTGCTGGTGACGAGGCGGCAGAGCGTCAGTCAGATCGGAGAGAATCATGGTGATAACGATGGTGCTGCTGATCGCAATGGCCCAGCAAATGATGATGATGATGATGATGATAAAGCATGATGATGATGGTGATGGCGATGATGATGATGATGATGATGACGATGACGGCACTTGCAGTTGTGTTGGCGACCGACCTCAACGCTAAGACCCAAACCCGACACCGTCAACCCTAAGTGGCTCAAGCTGCTATCGTTCGAGCCGTTCCGGGTGGGCTTAAAACCTAGGGCTCAGAAAACTGCCAGCACAACTCCGCAGGGCTCCGTATCCTGAAATAGCACAAAGCCCTCTCCTAGTTTTTAAGGCCCTTATGTTCAGGTATTGGGGGCGGGTTCTTATAATTATAAGCCCTAAACCCCGAAACCCTAAAGGTTTAACATTTAATGCTTGGATCTTTACTTGGGCCTTCGATTGCTGGAGTTGCCACATGTAGAATCAGGGGATGGCGAACTGTATGTAGAAACCTTTATACCTTGCTTATAAAACAAGCACCCTTGTTGGAATCATCCACTCGACAGGGCATCAAGATAGATCCGCTTGAAGAAGAGGTTGCACCAAATGATGTTGAATGTCGGCCCCACACCTCCTATCTAACCCTATCGAATCGCACCGGTTTTCGCAGGACAAGTAGATTCTTTCCTCTTCCGGTGCCGGGGCTCGCTGCCCCTGGCGAGCTAACGTCTCCAGCCGTTTCAGTTTCAACCCGACCGAGGGAGGCCAGGCCTTATATCCAAAAGCCCGAAACCCTAAACCCGCGAAAAAACGAATCCCTGATGTATTTCCAAAATCATCCTAAAGCACCAAAAACCCACATCCTAAACCCTACAACCCGAGTCGCTAAATCCTCCTTAAAGATCCACAGAACCCAGGTGCCTCCCGAGTATATCGTTCAACTGCTTCCTCGAAGCCTGGAAGCCTTCATGGGCCCCTGCTTCCTTCATGGAAGCAGAGGCCCGGAGACAGTCATCGGATCCCAGCTCACATTGAGGGCTACTTAGAAATACCTTGTAATTTTTTGTTATTATAATCCCAAAGAAACAGCTAAACTTGTAGTTTTTTGCTAGGGTGCTAAGTTCAGTAAAGCATAGTTGTGCCATAAAGATGATCTGCAACGCAAGACTACCATCGAAGAGGGAATTCTCTGATCTTGAAGTTAAGGGTGTAGGTGGGTTTAGCGGTTTCGGCGTGCTAGTCACATTCCTCTTCGTGCAGTGCCCCGTTGAGCCTGGCCAGGTGTAATTATGCCTTGTTTAGATAGCACCAAGGTGCTTCCTGCAGATATTGCAGATGGAAATCCAGAGTATGGAAGCAGAGTTGCTGTATACACACCCATCCCCCTCCACCGATCCATCAGTCTATAATTGGTCTTTCTGGAACCTGACTGCTTAGTATCTAACTGTCAATCTATCAACCGACTTGTCCATCTGCCAGTCTATCTGCCGATCTATCTATGTATCGTCATTTATGTGTTACAGTTCGTTACTTCTTGCTTCAGGGCTGTCTGTTTGTCTGTTTCATGTCTGTCTTTCGATGGCTCTACCTATGCATTTTTCTGTCTGCTTGCATCTCTCCATCCGTGTTTACCTATCTATCTGTCCATCTATCTACCTTGTAATCAAGTTTATCTTTATATCCATCTAGCTGTCCGTCAACGTACCCATCTGTCTATCTATCTTTCTGTCCGTCTGGTCTATCTACTTAATGATAAGTGTCGACCTGGTCACAAGTGGCTGGACTCTGCAACAACAACAAGAGAGCTGATGATACCAGGCAGTAAGACGCCATGCCTGCATGGACAGATGCATGCACAGCCGTAGAATGAGAGTTAGAGGCATGTATCACAGCACGGTTGTGTCCATCCTCGTGGTTGTTGGTGGTCTTTCGTAGTCTAGCTAGAATCAACGACTGACGCCACTATCGATATGTGTCGCAGCTCAACCAACAACGGCTTAGAGCCCATGCCACCGACAAGAGCTGGATCCGAGAGCAAAGCTAGCGCTATTAAGTGGACTCGGTGCAGGGAAAGCGCAGCATATGCCATGAAGCCGTGACGGCCACAACCGCTATGTTAGGCGGCATAACCGTATGAAGGCCTATCTGAGTCCGCACCAGCCGGCGGGCTCGAAGGACGATCTTTATCATTCCTGAGTCCGACAGCAAGCACCGCGTGGGAAGTTTTTCCATGCCACCGAGGTTGTTCTACAGTTTTAGGATTGCCTGAAAGCCGTTTAAGGGTTTAGGGCTTTGGGGTCTTAGGATCCCCTTAATGGGGGTTCCTATAAAGTACCCTTAGTAGTATAGAGCCCCAAATGAGGGGATATACTTTCTAGATCGTCTATTGGCTTCAGGTTTCCGATCTGGGGGCTTCGGGTTCTGAGGTCGGGTTTATTTGGAGCTTCAGGGCGCCCATGTGCACAGCCCATGCTAGGAGTATGCTTGCAGAGGGATCAAGCCAGCACCACCAGTCCCAGAGAAATTTCGTGTAATGTGGAAAGATGTCGAAACCTAATTGGTAACGTTCCCCTTTCGCCTAGCATGTAACAAAGGAAGTATAGTGGAATATGCCGCGAATCTTTGTTGCGATCTTGAAAGCCCTATATAGCCGGGACGGAAGCACAAAGGGCGCAATACACAGTTGCAACCTCTTGATGCGATGAATACAGAACAACCTCCCGCTATGCCCCGCGTGGTCAACGGCGGCCAACTCGCAGCCCAAGGCTATGAGTTCGCTTTGAGAGCACCGGACAAGCAAGGTTTAGAGTTTAGGGAGTTCGATTTGAGCTTAATTACCTTTGGTTAGTAGTGAATGGAAGAATGGTAGTAATGGCAGTTATAATTGTACCCCCATTCCTCCATTCCCTACTAACCAAAGGTAAGTTTGAGAGCACCGGACAAGCAAGATGGATTTGGGCTCTATTTTGGGTGTCTTACCCCTGGTTCAGGGCTCAATAGCGGTGTGGGGTTCTTGTGTAACCAGATTTTGATTCTATCTATATGATCCATTCCGGCATTGTTAGATGATCCTGACCGTTCAACACTGAGAATAATTCATTCATGTAACGAGGTGTGCGACCATTCCGAGTGCAGCCAAGGTTCCCTTATCGAATACACGAGGGCCCTCATCATGATCCCCATGACGTCACCTCGTCCATGTGTCCGTTGCCCGAGAGAGCAAGACAAACGTGGACGTTTGGATTGTATGTAGAGTGCAAAATCTGTGCTGCTCGTGCTGCCGCTCGGTCATGTTCCGAATTACGTGACACTCCATTGAACATGCGAGATCTTCTTGTCGTGAAATATCGTGAAAATGCGTATGAGTCCAGCATGCGCAATATGTGCAGTTGGTGTACATGTACATAAATATCTAGATTTATACGTGTACGGACAATATGTACACGTACACATACACGCATCCACACGCATCCACACACACACACACACACGCACACACTTACATACATACCTACACACATACATGCATGCATGCATGCATGCATGCATACATACATACGTACATAGGGACATACACGCATGCATACATACAAACATGCATGCATGCATGAATACATACATACACTGCGCCATATCTTCATATAAACGTACACATACCCATATGCATTTATTCACTGTGGCCATTTGTTTGCATGTCCGCTACATGTCTGTGGTTGTGCATGCTGTTTGTTCGGATGTTGCAGTTTGGAGTTAGACATCTTGTACCGCCTTAACGAAGACTGGGGCTTAGGGCTTAGGGATCATGGGGACTATAAAGAGCAGACCCGGGGCAGCAATCCCGGTGAAATTCTGTTGCTGCTGCCGTGAACTCTAGACCCTAAACCAGCCCCAAACCTTGGTAAGTATGGGGTTTGGCATTCAAGGTTAAGCTCTAATATAGGGGCCTCAATAATTAGAATAGAGTTCCGGGGCCCATTATATTATAATTATAGTAAGGACCACCCCCACCCCAAAAAAAAAAAAAGTATAGGTAGATATTGAGGCCCCTGAGCTTAAATTACAGATTTCTAGCAAGTCTGGCGGCTGGGTTCAGAGTGTAGATTTCAGAAGGGCGAGTTGCCCCGCCAAGCCTTTCTCAGGGGCTTCGTGGCTGTGCATGAAGCTTCGAAGTGGACATGCTTCTCCTAAACCCTACACCCGAAAGCCTAGCACACCACCACGTCCGCATCCTCATATGGGCAGTTCTCTAATTTAGGGTCCAATTTTTAATTTGCCGTACTATTTCTGGGACCGATTGGGGGGGCCTAATTTACAGAACTTCTCATTTACAAAGCTCTCCAAGAACTCCTCCCTGTTGGGCAGAACGGCTGCGACAAGTCTGGAGATCATAGTCCTCTCCCCGAATCTCGCATCCCTCACTACTCTTACATGGTACGGCATATCGTAAGCCCTGAGCTACGCAACCCTAAACCACTACACTGTCGTAACATCGCCATGCTGCGCTGCTCCCAGAGGGCGTTTGTTGCCCATGGGCTCTCAGCTCGAACTACGCCGCGGCCTCGGTGAACGATCGAAGCCCAAAGCGAAAATCCCGAAGCCTCAACCCCAAGCTCCATATTCTATATGGGTGGTTGTCAAAATTAGGGTCCCTTTTTGGGTACCCTAATAGGTGCCGTATTGTAATAGGAACCCAAAAAGGGACCATAATTTTGACAACCGCCCATATAACACACTAAGCATGCGCCCTTTATCTTGAACCCAAAAAACGGTTGTTTGTGTAATGACGTGCGACCTGAGCCAAGCGTTTCCGGTTCAGGAACCTTTCAGGAACGGCCTAAACGTGGGGGTTCAGGGTTGAAAGTTCAGGGTTTAGGGTGTGGGGACCTAGCCCTTGTTGCTTAGGCTAGTGCAGCTATATTGTTTCTGATTTGTTGAACGCGAGTGATGCGCAAGAAGCCGTCATCATTATCGCATCATCGCCATTCTGCCGTACTAAGCATAGTCCTCTTTTGGCATTTTGACTTTCGTCACTACTAATTAGAAATTAGAATCAGTATCCTCATCATCATCGTCGTCAACAACGACAAGTTAGCAATAGTTGAGGGCTGCAGCGTCATATGAAGACCGGGACCGAGACTCTAAGCCCTGAACTCCTGATTCGGGTTTAGGTCTTAGGTTCCCTAAACCCTAAACTAGACCCCTAAACCCCAAACCCCTAAACCCTTATAATCCCTAAACCCTTATAATCCCTAAACCCTTATAATCCCTAAACCCTTATAATCCCTAAACCCTTATAAACCCTAAACCCTATTGCAAAATTCCCGCCGCCATGACACCAAGGTGGCCCGTGGCCGCCAGGGCCCTCGCGTCGGGACCTCCCTCGCAGGAGTCCCAGGGTGACTTCGGACTTGATAGGGTTCCGGTTTAGACCTCCTTGTAGTAGTAGTCGTAGTAGTAGTAGTAGTAGTAGTCGTGGTGGTGGTGGTGGTGGTGGTGGTGGTGGTGGTAGTGGTAGTGGTAGGAGTAGGAGTAGGAGTGGTAGGAGTAGTAGTAGTCGTCGTCGTACTACTACTACTACTACTACTACTACTACTACTACTACTACTACTACTACTACTACTACTACTACTACTACTACTACTACTACTACTATTACTACTACTACTACTACTACTACTA